GAGCATGACCTTGGAACCGTGAATATTCGGTTTGGCCGTCGACGTGGAAGCATGACCGGGAACTCCCCATGATTTTCTGCGCTTGGGGTTATTGTAATGAACCTATTTTTCGTTCCCAGTCACAATGCGATGCAGAAATACTTTCCGTCTTTGCCTTTCAAGCAGCTGTTCACAAGCAAACAAACGCCGTTCAACATCTCTGGGCTTCAATTCGTACGGCACCCAATTTCCTTGCTTCTGAATCATTCCCATGGCTTTGAGGCCATGGCTTTTGAAATAGCTTGTTGAGTCACTCCCAATGATCGTGTCAATTCTTCTTGATTTTGACACGAGTCTTGATCAAGTAATGCCTCCAATTCTGCATCTTTGAAAATCTTCTCTTTTCCATCGTTATGCCGGTCTTCGACATCAAAATCACCGTTCTTGAAGCGTTGAAACCACTCACGACACGTTCTTTCACTAATAGCGGCCTCACCATAAGTATTTGAGAGCATTCGATGAGCTTCAGCCGCAGATTTCTTCATTTTGAAGCAGAAAATTAAAATCTCCCGCAAATGACGAGAATTTGGCTCGTAAACTGACATTTTCAATCGAGAATAACTTTATGATGCAGACACAAATCGACTAATGTTTCTATGGAGTTATGTTGACAGATGTCCAAGTTTATTGTATGACGTCTATCATCTATTTATTTCGAGCACCACTTACCGCTAAAGCCATCTATAGGAAAACGGCGGAAGCAAAGTTGTATACCTAATACTAAATTTAAAAAAAACATTTGTTTGGATAGTACTGTAAAGATATTTGTTTAAATTAAGTAATTATTTTCTAAAATTAAATAAAGAAATTTTAAATGTAAATTTGTTTCTTTAATTTTAGAAAATAATTACTTAATTTAAACAAATATCTTCACAGTACTATCCAAACGTTTTTTGAAATTTTGTAAATTTTTTCTCAGTGTATTGGCCATTTTAATATCTTTAAAATTGCACAATATAGACTTAAGATTTTTTGAATAAGAAAATTGACTACCTTTTCCAATTTTTATATTATATTGATTTCGCTATGTTCGATTTGGCATTTCTAAAACGTTTCGTTTTTAAGTATCTCCTTGGTTTTCAATGAAAACAAGTTAATGAAAAAAGTATCATAATATAAACAAACAAATAATAGGACAAAATCCTCACTAACCGAATTACTATTAAAAGTGGTTTATATTGACTCCTTTTTTAAGTTGCGCTTTTTTGTCACATTTCCACCGCGGGCTTAGATGGATAAAAATGCTGTCATCGTATCCAACATTCCAAAAAAACGTAAGATAGCATGTACAACTTACATTACACTTTGTAGATCAAAATTGGCCCATCGTCCTTTTCACGAGCTACCCCGGTCTCGCTCGAATTTCTTTATACCGCGCGCGATCTTATCTGGGTCAAGATTTTCAATCCGACAAGGTGTCGGATTTATTCACATATATATACACACATATACATACACGTAAGGCGTGCCTTGGCAGCTACCGTCATTGTCGACGGTCGCGAGTATTAAAAGCTAATTAAAGAGAACGTCATCTCACTTAAACGTCGAAGCGTTGATGTCGGTTGTCGAGTCGCGTTTGCCTGAAAATCTCGGACATCTTTTTGTCGTACTTCTCGAGAACCTTGGAAGAAATTTACACGTCAAAAGTTCTCGATGCAGCAACGTTAATCTCGTTCCACTTAAACAGTCGCCGTCATTCCCAGAGGATGACGAATATCCTTCGCGGCTGATTATGTGTCTAAATGTGAGTACCGAAGCTGCGTCGTTTTCTACAATCCGTCATCGTCATGCACAAAATCGTAAAGCAATTGTGACCCGAGATGGGTTCGAATAAGGAAGAAATCGCTTGATTATTCGCCCAGGTACAACCTGCCGTAAAAGGATCCGTCTCGCGCCCTACTTTCGTATGCTACGCGCGCACACACACCCACACATATGTGCGTGTAAAGTCTCAAAAAAAGAAAGTTGCGATATCGTTCTTGAATAAATTTGTGCGATTATGGTCCTTTCACGACACTAATATCTTCCTAATTAAGCTTGAATAATTTCACTTCATTGACACAATGAGGAGGTGAAGATGGTGATTAATCAGCGCGCGAGAGAGGTCGACGTCAAATAAGCATTTCCGGCCGGTGGGTTTTCGCATTTCGTGTTAGCGCGAGACGCCAAAGCGATAAACTCGCAATTCAGGAATCCCGAGCCGGGACTTCGGGTAGATCGTCGCGACAAATTAAACAGAGTACGGAAGACGGCCTTGAGGACAATCCCCCGCTCTTCCCGTCAATTTGCATCTCGGCTCCGAGCAAGTTTTGTGTTCCGATCTCATTAATGGTGTTCGGAAGTAGGTCAGCCGTGCTCATCTCGGGCGAACGTGCGGATAAGGGTAAATCGAATCGCGCCTGCGTTAACTACACCTTAATATTATTGCCTTCCGCGATATTCTTTGTCAATTTTGTGATAGGAACGCGCTGAGGCAATATCCCGGCCGGCAATAGCACTCATGGTATGAACGTCTCGATCTTTGATTCAATATAGAACGTTGTTCATGCACCTTCTCTTTAAGGAGAGAATATATGATCGCGTAGAGGACTTACCCGCAGGTACAAAGCTCGCAGATGCATTGTTCCTTCAGAGGGATTTTGGAGAGTATATCGGGTATCGGCGCGGGTCGAACGTCGTCTTCGTCGAGTGAGTCTGGAGTCTGATCTCCCCGTCGCGGCTTGTCGTCGGCTTGCACAGGTTTCGTCGGTTTCTGAGCCTTATCCGCGGGTCGACTGGGTCTACCCGCGGCTGGCCTCTGCTCCGTGGGTCTCGTCGGCCCTTTGGGTGCCTCATCAGGTTTTCTGGTCGCCACGTCTCTCTCCTCGGGTCGACTCGGCTTACCGGCTGCCGGTTGCGGTTTTCTGCTCGGCAACGTGTAATCCCGAGGCTTCTCGGGCGACTTTGCTCGAACTTCGGAAGGTCTACGGAACAATTAACGTCGCGTTGCGCTAAGTGATGCGTTATTGTTGCGGTGTAACTTTGTAATTATAGCCGTCATTGTCCCGCCGCCGTTTTCATATTTTTTTTTATGTTACAGAAAAGGCAGTTCTTTTACACGTTTTTTTTCCATTCGTTGTGTGTCAAAGAGTTTTTAATTAAAAAATTAATGAAATGAAGCAGAATCATGGTTCTGCTTTTTTGTTTAAATTCGTTTAAATTTTATTGTTTTCGATAGCGCAGAAACAGAGATTGTCGGTAAAGTTTATCTTACCAAGAAACACGGTAAACTTTATTAAAAATATGGCAAAATTTTAATAGCACATTCTAGTTTCTACTCTATAAAATTTCTTGGAACAAACTTTCACTTGAAAATTAGAGTGACACCCAAGTAATTTTCGAGTTATTTTTCGCTCCTATATAATAAATTCTCCGCTTTGAATCGTTGAGCAAATATTTTGACTCAAAATTGAAGAGTGAATCTGATGCATTCCATCATTAAAGAAATATATCCACTCAGATCAAAACATTCGCTTATATAGAGTTAAAACCTACTCTAATCTTGAATGAAACATTCACTCTTATGATCTCAATATTTTCACTATCGCCTTCAGCGAAAATACATTTTTTATTACAGAAATTTAGAGAGTACAAGGAAAGAATTTTATAAGGAAAGTTACTATAGGATTTTGTAACCGAGGATTAGATTAACATTGCAGCAATTCGCTATCTTTTTATTTCATATATTATTTATATTTCAGAAACTATGAAATGTGCTATTAATTTTTTCGCTATCAATTTTGTTTTACAATTCTTATTTACTTTCACTTTATTAAATATATTAATATAATGTAGCAAAAGAAAGTTAAAAGTTTCATATTTGGGATAAAGTTGAAACACTGATGTTTTATTGGCCTTTTTGGGAGGGCATATTTGTCCCAACGGTAATAACTTGGAATAGCTAATGTGTTCAGAATGCCAAAAAACTGTTTATTCCATTGAATAAGATTTTTATTAATCGTAGGAAAAATATATATCCCGTTGGTAACGAGAAAGTGTAAAACATTTGTTGTGCTTCTAGCGAAACTTGCTATATTTTTTAGCAAGATAGATCTTACTCTGAAAGAGTCTACTTCTGTATGTGTGTACACTACTAAAAATAGTAAAATTGAATAAAATTTACTTGCAAAACAAAACTATAATATTCTTCCCGCGTGAAATACAAATATTGCATGTGGAACGAAAGGACAATAAATTGCGAAAAGTAGGTATTTCAAAAGTAGGTAGTAGCCATTGCGCGGTTAGAAAATTCTATAGTAACTTTTGCTATAAAATCCTCAGTGTGTAGAGTGTTAGAAGGAAGACACTTGTTTCATTTACCTGCCATGTTCCGCCGGTCGCTGAGGACTCCTCTCGCGCTCTCGCGGAGGTCGGCTAGGTTTCCCAGCGGCGGGGATCGGTTTCGGTCGATCGTCTTCCCTGAGTCCGGGTATTCCGCGAAGATAGCCGGGCCGCTCTGGCGACGGTTTCTTCGTGGAATCCACCGGAGTTTGGGGCACGTGGCCAGTGATGGTATCGAATCGGGTATCGTCGACGACATCCCGCGCTACCATGCTAGTCACCTGCTCTTTGTCGATAAATTCCCTCGTTGACTCGGTGACATCTCTCTGGAAAAAAGAAGCGCAAATTATTCTTCTACTCAATACCTTTCTTATATTCTTCCTTCACTGTAAACAATTATTTGATAAAAAACTGACAAACAGATATTTCGGGTCAAAATATCGATGAGTTTTTGTATCCGATCAAGAAATATCCAATGAGAAATATCGATTCATGATTTTTTCATCGGATTATCTGATGAAATGTCATTATAACCGGATTCGATTAAATTTAATTGGATAGAAAAATCGGGATTTGCTCGGAAATATCCGTTTGTCAATTTTTTATAATAATTAATAATAATTTCTCTCAGTGTTCGAATCTCAATCTTGGGATAGGGAACAGTCGGCGCAATCGTCAGGATCATTATGTCAAGACGGTCAACAGCCGCGACGATTATCGTTTCGTTAATTACTGCTAAGAGCGTGTTCACGCGAGCGATGAGGTTAATTGTCACACAGCTCGTAACGTCGAACATTACATATATTATACGTTAAATTACATCTCATGATGCATACGGATATTTAGAATTTTCTATTATATAGCATCGGTAAACTTTGTTCTCCATTTTACATTAAGAAAAGGTAGTATAGTGGTGCGACGTCATAGATCGCCAAGGAGTCAAGTCGCTAAATATAAATGATCACTTATGCACTCGTTACTACCTGCGAAGTTGAACGCTACTTTGTTTCGCGATGTATAGAGGATTTAATGCCGACGTCGCGCGGATTTGCTTTAACGTCAAGAACGTCACAACAATTACTCAAAGCAAAAAAGAAAGAAGAAATATTACCAAGGTTTACCGGACTAATCGACGATCTAATCTCGCTCGTAAACGCTCTGTGATAGCACATTGCGCGGACTTAGAGGCGTAGTAATGCGACTCCGTTTTTCCGCGGGCGTTCATTACGAGCTTCAAACGTGCTGCATAATGAGCGCCGCGAGCATAGCGAGATTAGGAGCGCCGGTAGTGCTTAGTTCGACGGAATGCAGGTAACGCGAGATCGGCGCATATAGCTTTTATGTGCACGCTTACAACGTATCGTGTAACGTGCTCGTCGAACCGTCGTACTTTTGCGATATATAGTTTCGTCGTTGGCGGCATCGCCGTCGCTTCGGGAAACAGGTAGCCAGATGGGGGGGAGGGAGAGAGAGAGAGAAAGAAAGGAGGGGAGCGGACAGGGCTGTAGGCAATACTATCGATGGCAAAGGATTTGCACACAGAAGGATCCGTTTCGTGAGGGTTGCTTTCAAAATTAGGAATCGTCTCTCAACGAAGTTGACTCTCTCATTTCAATACAATTTACACGTCAACATCGTCAATTAAAAATCGACAGTTACAAGAAAAATACAGAGAGAGAGAGAGAGAGGGAGAGAGAGGGGAGGAGAGAGAGAGAGAGAGAGAGAGCATTCAAACATCTCTTTCTTTCTTTTTCTTTCTCTGTAGCCTTCTTTCTTGCAATTGCCGACTCTTAATTGACGATGTTGACGAAGTCGAAATTCCGACATTATATGCACATGTGTACTGTGGCGTGTACGTGTGTGTTGAGTTGGCTTAAAAATTTCGCGCAACTATTTTCGGTCCGTTGAATCTGCTCATTATACTCGCGAGCACGCTCGCTCTCCGACGCAGCGCGTTAACTCGATAACGAAGCAAATAATGCTCGCGCTGATACTATTAGTCAAATCCTCTGCTCCGTTTTTAACACTTGAGAATAATTCGCGCGAGCGCATCAGAGACGGAGTTTCGACATTTAATTAGCAGTTTAAGCAGCCCGAGCCTTTAAGCTGATTGCCCCTTCTTCGCGATATCGAGAGTCGCTTGTAATGAAGCTTTGTGCAACTCACTTCCCGCGAGTTTTCATGCTCCGCGTAACTCCGTGCGTCCGTGAACTTTTTCTTTTTTATATGTAAAAAAGAGAATGCTACGTCGTGCTGTTGTTTCACTACAAATTCAACAGACTCCGCATCGAAAACAGCAACGGCGAAACACGAGCGCGCGCGCGCGCGAGCGTGAGCGTGAATAAAATATCACATTTATCGATGTCGTAATACCTGACGTGGAGGGACATTGTGCGCGTCCATGTCGTCATAAAATAATAATATGGATTCAACTAGAAAACGCGATCACGCGTGTTAGCACACGTCGCATCATCGTCTGTCGATGCAAGTAGGGCAAGTTCTCCCTCTCCCCTTTCTTCTCTCTCTCTCTTCCTTCGTACATATAGCTGTTTGCATGTTGAACAATCGAAAACAAGCAGAGGCGTCCGTGTAACGCGCTAGTATCGGGATGGATTGTACCGAATTGCTCGCGGTGACGTCACGGTGAGATCGTATCGTAATCGTAGCGAGCGCGCTCCGGCAGAAGCGACTTGGATGGAAACGAGGTTGTTAAACAGCGAGAACGTTATTTACAGGGAATATCCGTGGGGCGCAGTTCATTCACGATAGGCGATGGCTGAAGCGACATTCATAGTGCGTTAAGCACTTGCTAGAGCCTTTTATCGATCATCACGAGACCTCGGGATAAAGTCATGGCTGTGGGAATCGAGCCCGAAGTACGCTCGCGTAAGGAAGCGCGCAATCCGCGTAACGCGGAATTGATTACGAATGTCTATTTTTAATTTGCACTGCGGCAAGAGAACCGGCGCAGTCTGGATAACGCGAAGAGGTATCCTTGAGCTAAGCGTTGGGTGTTCTCATTGTGAAGTCGGATGACGTGAACCCCGGTACGTCGATCCCGGTATTTGAGATGCTAACGCGAGCGTAGGTGAAGTTTTAGGTTGTTCCGTGCATCCTCAGCTTCAGCAAGTTTACTATCGTCGTTGACGAACGAGAATATTCGTCCCGCGCTCTTATAATCAACGAACAAAGTGCACGATCGTTGAGGAACACATATCTTGCATGAGATCATCAGAATTATTAATTTTTGTAATTTTTCATATGAAATATGTAATCTTTTGCTTCACCTTGTCTCGTGTTGAAATAAATTTTTATAATTTTATGTGACGTTATGAAATTACAAGAATTATAAGATCGTTGAAACATACGTTTTATGTGAAAAATTATAAGAAACAAAAATTCTTATAATTTTATGTAAAATGTATGAATTTTTCACCGATCTTATAATTCTTATAATCCTGACAATTTTTACAATTTCGTAAACACTTATAATACATACAATTATAAGAATTTGTTCCCACACAAAAAGAGGTGAAGCAAAAGATTATTACTCCAGTTGTTGATTGAGAAGAATCGAAATATCTCTGTTGAAGAAATCGGGAACAGACAGAAATAGGACGCCGGTCACTACTGGCAATCCGAAATTGCAGCATTGCAGAAACGCTAATGCTCGAGCTAATTTTTCGAGTCGATCGCGATAGCAGAGGCCGAGGTGTCATCCGCAGAATTTATTTTCACGTTCGATATCGACCCACATTTCTCTGAAAACAAGTAACTTTCAGTCGGTGCGACGCGATCATAATGTGAAAGTCGGTGTCGCGTGCATACTGATTATAGGACATCAATATTTAAATCTACGATATATCGGCGCGCGATGAGCCATCGTAGAGTGGCAACTGACACAACCGTTATTGTGGTATATCGTATCGTTGTTATTTTAACATTATCGACCGTATTATTGTCGCATATGATGCTGTTACTGCGATAAGTGACGCCTATATACACACGGCTCGCTCGCTCACTCACTCACTCTCTCTTTCTCTTTCTCTCAACTTCTCTTAACCAAGATTTCTATAGCACTTAAGAGGACGACCACGATAAGCGAGTCGGCACACGCGTGGAATTCAATTGGTCGTGGCATTAAAGCTACATTGGTGACGGTGACATCACTACCGAATTTACTCGATATCGGACGTAATTGTTATCACTTTGTATACGGTCGACTGAATTTGATTGCAGGTGATTACACTTGCGCGTCCATGGCGCATGCCAGAGACAATTCGTAGGACCTCGCGAGCTGAATATAAGAGCGGACAATCGTGAGTTATCCGCGCATATAGTTGTCTCGTAAGCAAATCTGATGCGATCAAATCATCTGTGTATCTTCCTATCGGCATTACATTGATTATATCTGTACGAAACTGTCACTACTATCTCAATACAAGGCAGATGTCGATTTTCACTTAATCTGCGTACTCAGTAATCAACGCGATAATTCTCTCAAGCTTATTTATATGCGACTATTAAAAGCGGTTGTGCCATGAGCATCAAAGTCCACTTCTCTCGATCGAGAAGAAATGTTATCGCGACACGATTTTTCGCGTCATCAAAGGCTATCGTCGTCAACGACCATAGCCGTGTTAGCTGAAGAAATTACGATAAATTATTAAATTTTACGTGCAATCACGCACAGCACCATTGGTATAATACGATCGAGAGAGAAGCGCGTCTTACTGTTTTTCATACGCGAGATATCGATTCCCGGCCCGGGACTTTGCGGCAGTCCGTCGAATCCGGGACTCAGCCATGCAGAAATTCGATCAGGAACGCGATCCTGCTCAGACGCGAGGTCGTTAACGACGAGTCCCCCATTTTTTTTCCTGCCGCTCAACCCTTCTCCGTCCTTCCACGAACCACGGTGTATTACGTCAGATTTATTTTCAACGGCACAACGCACGTGAATACACGACCTTCGCCCGCTTTGGAAGTGAAAGTATCGCTCGAACCTCTTCCGCAAGGACTGCGAGCTGGAAGTGTCTCGATAAGACTTTTATAAAACCACCGCGCCTGCTCTCTTTGGCGTCTGTTTACTATCAATTATCAACAGACAGGATACACGTCATGTCCAGAGCAGTTTAAATTTTTAATGTTTATTTATTCTCGTCCATTTATTTCTTACGAATAATGTACTTAGTGTGGGAAAAAAGTATTTTCTCGTAAAATGACACGAGTCGCAGCTTTAACCTTTTGAGTCATAAGAGGACGCTAGCATTCCATATCTATATATATTTTTTTTGTTTCATTTTTAGTGACTTTGACTAACTTATCAGTAAACATAGTCGATTATATTATTACTCTTCCTCTTCCTCTCTCTCTCTCTCTCTCTCTCTCTCTCTCTTCCCCACTCACACTCTCTCTTTCTCTGTACTCTCTCTCATCGACTTGGTCGCGCGGCTAAAAAGAAAAAAAGGAAAATAAAAGGAGAGCGCGATCGCGCGACGCGAAACGTTCGACTTTTTGGCGTCGCCGCGAGAAAAAAGAAAGGGAAGAAACGGGAAAAGAAAGAAAAGATAGAAAAACGCAGAAAAAGAGGAAAGGAAGAGTGTGCATAGTGAGCTGACGTCGTCGACGTCGACGTCGTCGTCGTCGTCACCGTCGTCGTCGTCGTCGTCGTCGTCGTCGTCGTCGTCGTCGTCGTCGTCGTCGTCGTCGTC